CGCACGACAGGCAGCGAGACCAAGCGTGCACGCGCGCAGGCTTGGCCGCCGCAGAACCGCACGCAGCAGCAGTCAGCAATGCGTGCCCAAGCCTGGCCGCCGCAGACCGGGCACACAAGGCCGCACCACACGCAGCTTGAGTAAATGCGAGCGCGCCCATGCTTGGACGCCGCAGACCCGCAGCAAGAGTCAGCAGTGCCGCAGGTTTGGCCGCCGCAGACCGGGCACACGCACGCAGCCACACACACACACACAGGACGCAGACCCGAGAGCGCACCCCGCGCTGGTGGAGTGGATGCACGCGCGCAGGCGTGGCCGCCGCAGAACCGCGCGGAGCAGTCAACGCGCCACCCCAGCTTTTCCCTTACAGGGTTTAGGGTCCCAGGCTTGGCCGCCGCAGGCCGGGGCGCAGGCCGCACGACACGCAGCGAGACCAAGTTTGCACGCGCGCAGACTTCGCCGCCGCAGAACCGCAGCAGCAATCCAGGCCGGACCTCACGGAGCTAGAGTGAATGTCGCGCCCAGGCTTGGCCGCTGCAGAACTGCAGCAGCAGTCAGCAGCGCCGAAGGGGTGGACCAAGCACACACGCGCACCCGCACACACAGGATTCAGACCCGAGGACGCGCCCCAGCAGCTGGAGTGAATCCGCACGCGCGCAGGCTTGGCCGCCGCGGAACCGCACGCAGCAGCAGCAAGCAGTGCGTGGACCCAGGCGTGGTCGCCGCAGACCGGGCACACAAGGCCGCACCACACGCACCCTGAGTAAGTGTGCACGCGCCCAGGCGTGGACGCCGCAGACCCCGCGCAGCTGGAGTGGATGCTCACGTGCGCAGGCTTGGCCGCCGCAGAAACGCACGCAGCAGACAGCAGTGCGTGGCCCCAGGCTTGGCCGCCACAGACCGGGCAACACAGACACAACACTCAGACCGCCGCACCGCGCGCAGCTGGAGTGAATGCGCACGGGCCAATGGCCCCAAGCTTGGCCGCCGCAGACGGGGCCGCATGCCGCACCACACGCAGCGCGACTTCCGACGCGACGAGTTCATCCGCGACGAGCTCATCCGGACGAGCTCTTCCGGAAGAGTTCATCGGAGGACGACTTCATCCGCGACGAGTTCACCCGGACGAGTTCATCCGGTCGAGTTCTTCCGGACGCAGCAGCAGGCAGCAGTGCCGCAGGCTTGGACCGAGCACACACACGCAAACGCACGCACAGGAGTCCCCGAGGGCGCACCCCACGCAGCTGGAGTGAATACGCACGTGCGCAGGCTTGGCCGCCGCAGAACCGCACGGAGCAGCAGTCAGCAATGCGTGCCCAAGCCTGGCCGCCGCAGACCGGGCACACAAGGCCGCATGCAAATGTGCTCGCGCCCAAGCTTGGACGCCGCAGACTCGCAGCAGGAGTCACAACTGCCGCAGGCGGCCGCCGCAGGCCGGGCACACGCACGCAGCCGCACACACCGGATACAGACCCGAGAGCGCGCCCCGCGCAGCTGGTGCTCACGCGCGCAGGCTTGGCGGTCGCGGAACCGCACGCAGCAGTCAGCAGTGCGTGGCCCCAGGCTTGGCCGCCACAGACCGGGCAACACAGACACAGCACTCAGACCGCGGCACCGCGCGCAGCTGGAGTGAACGCGCACGGGCCAATGGCCCCACGCTTGGCCGCCGCAGACGGGGCGCATGCCGCACCACACGCAGCGCGACTTCCGACGCGACGAGTTCATCCGCGACGAGCTCATCCGCACGAGTTCTTCCGGACGAGTTCATCCGAGGACGACTTCGTCCGCGACGAGTTCATCCGGACGAGCTCATCCGGACGAGCTCTTCCGGAAGAGTTCATCCGGTGGCGAGTTCATCCGCGACGAGTTCATCCGGACGAGTTCATCCGGACGAGTTCATCCGGAAAAGGAAGGGGTGGAGGAGGAGGAGGGGGAGGAGGAGGAGGACGAGGAGGAGGAGGAGGAGCAGGAGGAGGAGGAGGACGACGAGGAGGAGGAGGGGGAGGAGGGGGAGGAGGAGGAGGAGGAGGAGCAGGAGAAGGAGGAGGATGGAGGAGCAGGAGGAGGAGGAGGAGGGGAGGGTACCGCATTCGGGTCGCTTCGACTTGTACAGTCGAGCATCTGATTTAAGAGACCTCCTCCCGAAAAGTTTGGCCCGCGTTTCTTGACCAACTTATTTGAACGCTGGCCCAGTTTGTTTAGCGCGTTCGACGGTGGAGGCTGGATGCACGGAGGCTGGATGGGGCCGAGGCTAGAGAGAGGCGGAAGGGGCGACGGAAGGACGGGTCTGCAAACGTTGGCCCAAGTTTTCGTTAAGAAATTCCCGGGAAGCGGGCCCGCGTTTCTGAATTGACAGTTTCTTAATCGTATGCGTGGCTGTAAGTCGGAGACCTTCAATGGATGCGTGCCACCTGGTCCCCGAGGGCAAGGGGACTGCCGGGGGTGGCCTCGGGCACCGTGTCTACACGGGCCAGGTAACCCGCCTGACCGTCGTGGGTGTTCTGGGGCCCCGACCTCAGGGGGAGGAGGAGGAGGAGGAGGAGGAGGAGGAGGAGGAGGAGGAGGAGGAGGAGGAGGAGGAGGAGGAGGAGGAGGAGGAGGGGGAGGAGGAGGAGGAGGAGGAGGAGGAGGAGGTGAAGGAGGAGGATGAGGCGACCTCGGAGACGCGGGGGCTCGGGTCGGGGCGAGGTGCCTCGGACGTGCAGCGCCCAAGAACGCGCGGCGAGGGT